CTCCGGCCCCGCCCCCCGCTGACGTACTCGCGCTTGCCCCCAGTCCTGCCCACGTGACATCCAGCGTTTTACCCCGACAGGATCCCCGCCCCGAGCCTCGACCCCCCCTCAGACTCCTACGCCCAGTGTACGGGAGACCCGCGCCCCGCCCCCGGCCCCGCCCCCGACGCTATCAGACTCGGACGCCCCGCCCCCGACCTGCTCAGGCCCCGCCTCCGCCCCAGGCCGTGCTCTCTGCTTAGGAAAGACGCATTCCACCTGGCGGCCGGTTACGGGGGCAGGCCGTACCCAAGGGGGCCAGGAAAGACGGGGCATGGCCCTGCCCTCGGAGGTCACGTCCAGGGTCAGTCTACCGGGGTCACACTGCGGCCCAGGCCGCTCCTTCGCCTCACCTGCCGGCATTTCGGATTGGAACGCGTGCGTTCGAGTGATCGGCTTGAGGCCCACACACGGGGCCAGTTTCTATCGGAATCAGCAAGTTCTTTTCATGCGACCTCTGCGGTTCTAGAGGAACATTTTTACCCCCAACTGCAGGTTGAAATAAAAATACACTGGGTTTACTTTTCCTTAAAAAAAAAAAAAAAAGCACACCAATACCACCCACAAAGTACGTACAATTTCAGAACACTGCCCTCTAAGGTGACGCCCTAAAGAGAGTCTCTTTCTGACAGGTGCTTCCTCTCATATGGGGTCCTACGGGATGAAGATGTGATTTCCAGACACCAGGGCAGAGAAGTGGGGCGGAAGCTGCGTCCTGGCCCTTGGGACATCAGGGCTCCAGACACAGGTGGGAGCAGCAGGGAGGCAAAGGGCCCCACTCACTCCCTGGACACTGCGGAGGGCAGGCCTCGTGCCTCAATGTATTCAGTGGACCAGTAAGCTCAGCTGCAGGTCAGCATGGTCACCTAGCCCTTCTGAGAACATTCTAGAAAGGCCTCTTTCAGCACCCACCAGCAGCTCACACCATCTGCGGGTGTGCTGTCCCGTGGCCTAATGGCCGCCACATGACATGTCCTGACACAGGAGCTTGAGGTGGCTGGCTGCAGCACGCTCTTCCCACCACTTCCCAAGGGAGGACAAGCCGTGACCTCCAGGGCTCCAAGCTTCTCAGAGAAGATATCAGCCCACAATGGAGAATACAGGGCTGTACAGGGGACACTTCCAGGTCCCCAGCATTCTCTGAAGTGACCCTTTGAAGAACATCAAGAAATTAAATCTCACCCCAAATGGAAATAGAATCTGGAGGGCTCAGCCACACTAAAAGCTACAGACATGCTGCCCACACACGGAGGCGGTTTCGGAAGGAGCACCCTCGGGAGTGGCTGTCCAGAGCCCCCAGGGGCTACTCGCCACTCCGGAAGGTTCCTGCCACATCCTCGAGAGGTGCGGAATGAGGCCCCGATGTCTCCTGACCGGTGGTCTACAGGCAGCTGAGACAACGCCCCCCACCTGTCACCCTGGCTGGCCGCGCATCCATCCGGCTACTGTGACTGTCATAACCTCCAGTCAGGAGGCATCGTCACAGGCCCGGGCGCTTGCTGGAAACTCGGTGTGCATGGCCCGCCCACTCTGCCCCTCACCCAGAGTAGCCTCACCGGCCAGCCCAGAGCCAAGGAAGTTGGAAATTACCCTGAAAATGAGGCCTTCACAGAGCTGTCTGTCAGGGCAGATGCAGGCGGGTCAGCATTGCACTGCCCCCTGTGAGGTGTGGGCTTTCAGGGTGTCCCACAGCCACATGGGAGTGCAGGTCCCAGCTCCGTCCATCCTCCCAGCTCTCCCTGCCTGCTCTCCCTGCGTTTCACTGGGGCCTCCTCACTGGTCTCCGCGGCATCCACCTCCCCACCCAGGCCACAATGGGTATCCCCCAAGCCCGGCTCTGAGTACATCCCCACAAGTCCCCAGACCCTCAGGGACTCCCCAGTGCTAAAGGCCACCCCACCCCCACAGCTGGCTTCCAAGGATAACAGCCATGTGGCCTTCCCGCCTCCTCCTGGCTCCCCCCCACGCGCCCCACCTTGTCATTGCCCCACCCTCAGGCGCGCTCTGTCCCCACGACTCCGTTTTCATTTCTCAAACGCCCCTCTTTCTCCCTACAGCCTCTGGGCCGATGGCGCCCACCACCAGGGTCGGGTTCTGTGGGGACCTGTGTCACTGGTCTGTTCTCGTCACTGTGCGGCACAGCCCAAGGGAGACATGCCCAGGACACACACTGGCTTTTCTACCAAGTGTGCTTTCCAGTGTGTCCCAAGCAGGCAGCTCCTCAACAGTGAGCCCACACACAAATAGCAACCCCAAATGTGAACGGCAACGCCGCAACACTGGAAGAAGCCCAGGGAAGAAGGGGCGGGCGTGGGACTCACCGAGGACCGACTCGACCGTGTTGCTCGTGGGGTCGAGCAGGAGGGCACGGGCGTCCAGGGCGGACAGCACCGTCGGGGAGGAGCCCCTGGAGCCAGTGCTGGAGGCCAGGCTCGAGGTCACGCTGGAGCCCACGCTGGAGGCGAGCGGGCGGACCACAGCGAGCACAGTGAGGTGGTTCTGTTCAAAAACAGACGAAGGCGGTGTTAACAGAACATCGTGACGATCCCGGGGCCCAGACCCCCCAGAACCCATGTATGGGACAAAAAAACACGGAGGACAGCTTTCCCAAAGGCGCTACAGGACGGTGACTTTCTAGTTAATTATGACGGCCAGAACAGGCACCATCGTGGGCCACGTGGGGCTCAGGCACATGGCGGATGCAGCCAGAATGTGTCCCAGTTGAAGCATTTTCCACAGAAAACCATTTTTCAAAAGCAGGTGCCGACAACAGCCAAAAAGTGGAAGCAACCCAAGTGTCCATCAACGGATGAGGGGAAAACAGAGCGTGGTCCGTCCACACAGCGGGACATTACTCAGCCATCAACAGATGAGGGGAAAACAGAGCACAGTCCATCCACACGGCGGGACATTACTCAGCCGTCAACAGACAAGAGGTAAACAGCGTGGTCCGTCCACACAGCGGACGTTACTCAGCCATCAACAGACGAGAGGTAAACAGCGTGGTCCGTCCACACAGCGGACGTT